AATACAGCAATTGGAATAACATGATACTGAAATTGACACCTTCGACTAGGATTGGCTAAAAGTTTTACAACTGAGGTTTAACACACCAAGACACTGTTTTATAAAGAAAATAGACTAGATAAAGTTTAAATACTAATCATAGATGGCAGGACCAGTGCTGAAGTGCAAGTAAATTTTTTTTTTTCTTCTTAGAGGGTGCATATTTATAGTCTCAAACATATTTTGGGATTTTTTTTATTAAATTTCTCTTTAAATAATACAATTTTGTACAAATAATTGAATGTTATGCTACTGTTTAAAAAAATAAAATCTGAAATCCAATAAAAGATAAGTTCTCTATCATTTTTTCAACTTACAAATGTGATTTTGCCCTCACTATAAGACAAAATGGCCACGACAGGTAATGGGTTAAGAGCATGGAAGAATAACAAACATATGAAGAATACTTGAATTGCACAAGATAAAGAATAAATTCATATAATGTAGTCATTTCAGACAGATGACATGTTATCATGCAATAAAGTAAAATAAGTAAAAACAAATTTTCAAAAGTAGAATAAAACATTTTCACAGAACTTCAAAGAGTAAACATTGGTAAACTCTAAATACTCTACCTGGTCGATAGGTTCCAACGGATGCCATGGATACTAGATCCCATATTTTTATACTAAAATAAATAAATAAAAGAAAGAAGTTTAGAGTGCATACAATCACACAACTTTTGATGACACTGTCAAGTAAATTATCCCTCACAATGTTTTAAATGATTTTAATATTTAGTTGAGCTTTGGTGAAATATACAACTCCATTTAGCTTGTGTTTTTAAATAAAACAGATTACATATCAACTAAAGTCTTTCTTTGTTTCTGATTCACTCTACAAATGATGATATGCAGACAACTGATAGCTGGTATATTAACAAGAGTCTCTTCTCCAGAAGTAGTTGATTTTTTTTAAAGACATTTATACTTGTTAACTATAAGTCAATTTTACTTAAAGATAATCCCACAGCAGGGATGGAAGGTTCATGTACTATAAAAGTTGAGGGGAAAAAAATTAAAATATACAAAACACACTCAAAACAGCTTATGAAAAAAGTTATATCTTAAACACAATTCATAATCTTTATCCTAAATATCTCATTATTATAAACTCCTTTATTACAATGGATGATGCATATATCTTTTATGTATAGAGAGTTAAGAAATAAATAAAAGCCATCTATTTTAGTCTTAGCAAAGACAGGAAATTAGAGAAAAGGATTACTGATACAGTATATCTAACAGTTCTTAACTGGATAAATAGTTACTGCAGAGTTTTGCTTCCAGTACAAAATCCTCTATCATAAAAAAACAATTAATGCCCTTTTAATAAATTACAAACAAATTTTGTCAAATAAAATACAAGTACATACAAGTTTGAAAGAAAATGAACAATAAATAAACACTAACACATTAGGCTTGTCTGTCTGAATTATTAAAGAGCAAGGTTAATAGATTACCTTTTATCATAGCTGCAGCTTACTGCCTTGTCTCCTGATGAATTTACATCTACACAAGAAACAAGATCATCATGCTCTAGGCCATAAAATATACTGTTTAATAAGGGGGCCTCACCATTAGTCTGGAATTCTAGGAGCTCCACAGAACCTAAAAGAAATTAAAGTGAATATTCTGTTTGAAAGTCACTTAATGTATTCATTCATAGCTGGTAGCAATAAACACTATATCATGCATCAGAGCACACTTCAATTATCATAAGTCAAAAATGAAAGATAATCTAGCAATGAATAAAGCTAATTTAATACACCATTCTCACTTATAATAATTAGTATGCATTGATTCATCAGCTGGGTAACCTAGCTGTCAGCCAAATTCTGCACCATAACCACAATCATCTCATGAGGTTTGGCCAGCTTAGGGAATTTTGGTCAGTCTTAAATCTACATATTATATATATCATATTATATTAAATATTATAATCAATACTATTCAAGAAATTAACACTGAAGAAAGAATAAAACAAAACTTGCCACAAAACTAAAATGCACTATAACCAATTTTGTGTCGTCAGTATAAGCAAAACAGTTCCCTCATATCTAATGATCAACAAAACCCTTTTAAATCATTTTGTTTTGAAGTAACTTAACATCCACAAATAAGTAATATGAAATGTTACATTGTACAGCAAAAAAAACAAAAAAAAACTAATGTTTATGAAGATAATAAAGAATGAATTAAATGAATTAGAAAACCATACAACAAATAACAAAACTATTAATACTCTAATCAAAATTGTTAATCATGTTGAGTTTCATACAAAGCTAAATGAGGGCTATCTGCACCAACTGTCCCTAATTTTGAACAATAGACCAGAATGAAAGCAGCTAGTCAACACCATCCACCACCAACTTCTAGACTACTTTCAGACCAAATAGTGGGATTTCACATTCATTCTTCAAATGTATTCATGATCAAAAAGTGTGATGGGTGAAGTTTGTGTTTTTATTGGTTAAAGAAGATGAACCCATGAAATCTGAGGTCCACAGTCTGGCAAGTTAACCACTGGACTGTTCTTGAACCCTAATTGAAATAAGTTAAATTTGATAAAAAGAATATTTTAATATATATAATATGAGCTGTTTAATGTAACTAATCTGACTAATTAACCCCTACACATGTGATCAACTTACAGAGCAGGCAGTCAATTGTATATTAAGTGACAATAAGGTAAGAGAAAGGTCACAGTAATAACAGACTTCAACAAAAAAGTAACAAGAATGGTAATTAAGATTATTGAAGTAATTTCATTATCTATAGTGAGAGCTTACACTAACTAAAGGTAAAACTAATGATGGTTGCCATACTACAGTTGTTGGTTATTATTTAGCCATACACATGATAGTTTTATTATTATTAATCCTATAATCAGTGGCAAGAAGATTATTTAATTTACCAAGAAACTGAATCTGTTATTCAAATTGTGGTAGAAGAAACCCCATTTTGTATAATGAGAGTGAGTTTATGAGCTCTGACCACTAAGTCTTGTAATGTCAAACAAATTTTTGTATCAAATAAGATATGAGAGTAAACATTCAAGCATTGCTTATTTGGAATATTTGTATTTATAAATGAAAAGTTTACAACTTTAAAATTACAAACTCTTTTTATTGAGAATATTGAACTTGAATGTTTGATCACTGGTGTTTGTATTTAAATCCAGCTTGTGTGTTCTATTTGTAGTGAAAAGCTTTTTTTACAGACTGAGTTTTAGTGGACAGATGTGCTTGTCAGTGTCAAGGAAATCTATATAATTCAACAAAAGAATATTATCATTATATATATCCATAAGTGAACTTAACATGAAAATCCTTGTTATAGTTCTTCTTACTAAGAATTAATACAGATGCAATTTTAGGTAATCAAGATTGAGACCATGACTGATCAGTCAGAATACATTTGGTCCAAAACTAATCTGTTGTTATGGGATACAATGCATAACTTAAGTGAGTATTATTGGAGTAGTTTTGATAGGTATTTTATTTTACAACTTAATTCACAAATGGTATCTTTTAAAGTTTTCAACATCATCAAAAATTAATTGTAATGATAATTTTTGCTGTGGTTGAATGGAGAGGAGGCAGAGTTTGTTGGTCAAATTTGATGTATCAGAAGCTGTGAAACAAAGCAACTGTCTGTTTCTGGTTGTAAACATACCAGGTATAATATAATATCCCAGTATTCAATTTCACAACACAACACAGTCTCTTAGCCAACAATATATACTTGTACAATCATTTAGACTGAAATCAACTAACACACCACACAAAAATAATTAAATCTATTAAAATATCACACTCAAGTTGTTACTTCTCTGATTACAAGTAGAATACACTGTGATACCTATACAATTAATATACCTATTTTACAAAAGGACATACATATTTTGTTTATTAAAGTTGATAACAGTGATGATCTTCAGGTCAGATTTTCTCAAGTTTGTAGAGAAATTTAATATTTACTTATACAATAAGACTTCACTAACAATTTATTTTTTCCTAATTTTTTCAAAACAGTTGCACCTAAACAAAAAAAATTTGAGAAGTTTCAAAGAACAACTAGCATTACCTTGCTAGGGTCTTTGGAAATATTTGTAATTATTTGGTTAAAAAATGCTTCACAAACTTATCTGTAACCCAGAAAGAGCAGCAACCTCAACTAGGGAACTTGCAATTTCCAGAAATTATAAAGTTTTGCTATTTAGTATGAAGTACCACAATAAAATTCCACAGACTGGAGATATAATATTAAGGCTGCATGTACCTGGAGATATAACATTAAGACTACATGTAAATGGAAATATAATATGAAGGTTACATATACCTGGATATGTAAATGCTACATGTACTACCTGGTGATATAATATTGAGACTACATATACCCAGATATATAACATTAAGGCCGCAGTTACCAGGAGATACAATATTAAGGCTACATATAACTAGGGGTGTAATATTAAGGCTACATGTACCTGAATCAGTCCCTATGATCACCTTATTCTGCTCAACACTAACTGCATCACAAACACCAGAATCTGTTTCAACTCCAGTCAGACACTTCTCCACATTTGGAGCATCATCAGCACATTTAAAACACCAAACTGAACCACTCCAGTATCGTCCAGTTAGGTTTGAAGATGCAAGAACAAAAGTTCCATCTGTAAATGTACATCAGTGATGTTCATGAAAACTACAGTTAGTACATTAACATTTATAAAAACTCACTTTACTTTATTAACAAACGTTATCTAGCAGAAATATACTTATTTAAAGTACAAATTGATATTTATGGAACTTACAGCTGCTATACAGCTAGGCTATAAGCATGAAACTACACACAGGAACACCAACTCATAGACTAATGTATGACATGAATACAATGATGACCTAGATTTTATTGAATGATTACATTCATTGCTACATTTTGTTGCAAATTACAAAATGCTAAAAAATGTATTTAGAAAACTCTAGGAACTGCATCACCAAAATTTACAAAAATTAAGCACCAAACAAGAAACACAAGTTAGCATTCTCCTACGCTGAAAATGTATTTCTTACAGATACTTGCCTCTTATCACAAAATAGCTTTTCTCGACTAGCACTGCCCTCTATTGGCACAAATTTTCAATGCACACCACTAGCCTTCCGTTCCCCGCTTCTGCATATTCACATGCAAATGATCATCCCACCAATAGGGGAGACACTACTCCTATCATAACCAGCACCCTCTTCACATCTGCACTCATTAATCACTTTGGGATTAGTCGGAAGACCTACACCAGATATCATCAGAAGTGGGGAGGCTGGGAGGGAAATGTGAGATGAGGTAAGTATCTATTTTAAATATATTTTCAGTGTAGGAAAATGCTAACTTCTGATACAATATCTTACCTCCACTCACAAAACAGCTAGAATCCCATGTTGAACTGGTGGAGGGCTGATAAAAAAATGAACTTCCTTTAGGAAGTGCCCATAGAGAGACCAGGAGGTGTAAAACCAAAAGAGAAAACGTCACACCTCAGCAAGAGACCGCACCACATGTGATCCTGGTATACTCTTCACTCTTTTATGACAGTGTTGCAAAAGGTGAAAAAACATGAAGGAATCCCAGGATATATATGACTGATAAATGGGACTCCTGGGTGTCGAGTGGCTAGGGCACGACAGACCATAGTGGTAGTTTAACCTCATCCAACACCAGGCAGTATTTGGAATGGTACATTAGATTCACAGTAGGTAGAGAATCACCTACCTCTTCACTTTGAAACAGGAATTGGTAGGGAAGATAAGATTCCATACCAAAATCCATCACCACTTGCAAGTATTTCCAACACAACCAACACCAGATCTACTGAGAACCAAATTTCAGCACATGGTAGGCAGATGGAAAGCCCTGACAGGATGATGTTTCCAGTAGGAAGGACTACAACATAATTGACACCGAACAATGACACCAAACAAGGTTGCAGGATGGACAGTGCAGATTTTCAAAAAACAAAGTATACCTGGTCAGGCACCACTTTCCACAGAGTGGGATCCACAATACAATAACTTTTCACAAAACTGAAATTTAAATAGACAGTAAATATATACTGAGTCAGTAGTATAACGGAAAACACTGACATATCAGTGATCAAAAACCAGCACATCTGTAGAGTACTACTGCCAATCAAGAAGTGATTAACGAGTTCAGATGCGAAAAGCTGCTGGTTATGATAAGAATGTTGTTGTGCTTCTATTGGCGGAGAACTGCTGCTGCATGATCATTTGCATGTAGATATGCAGAAGCAGGAGGTGGCAGGCTAGTGGTTTGCGCTGAAAATTTACACCGATAGAGGACAGTGCTAATCGAGAATAGCTATTTTGTGAGATGAGGTAAGATATCGATTCGGAATTTCACTGAAGAATACTAGTTAGCACCTTCAATGTTTTGTGTATGGTGTATTCCATGACATACAGTTGATAACACCTCAGAAAGCTTCCTACTTTTCCAGGTTGCTACAGGATTCCCAAATACATGTACATCTAAAGCATTTACTGTCACACATATTCAATAAATTTGTACTTCTCTGAACAATGCACACTAACTTTCAAAAATTATTTCTCACAACACTTCCATTTTTGTTTTTAATAACTTATCTTTGTTTTCTTATTAATCAGAATACAAAGGTTTGAAAACAGTTTTAACAACAACAAAAGTTTGTAATAATGAATGTTGGGACAAGTACCACCCCTTTAATTTAAACCAAGTTAAAAAATGCTAATGGAAAGGTTATAAAATATATTTCCAACTAATTCAAGCATACAAAAATGTCATAACGTGAGAGGAAGAAAATTATAAGCTTAAATACAGTTTATAACGTACATCCACCATCATATATTTCATATGTAAACACATATTTAGTGCTTCCATTCTATGGTGACCTACATTTTCCAATACACTAGAACATTGGTCAAGGGTTTTGGGTAGTTATATTTTGCTCTAGTCATTTACAGTATTGTTAGGGCTTCTGATTTTTGATTTTAACTGATAAACACCAATAAAACACCTCCCGATACCAAAAAAAAGGAAATAGGCGTTTTTCCAATGAACATCAGAAAAACACTGGAAATGGTTATTCAGTTTACATTAATGTCCCCACTTTCTCAAATCACTGTGCCTGTGAGATACAACCATTTCCACGGGGGCTTGTGTAAAATAATAATTATTATTTTTCATTACATTAGCTAATCTAACATAATATGTTTTTATTTTTATACTTTAGTTACTTGTATAACAAGAAATAAAAAATATACTTTAAAAACAAGAAATTTGGAACTCACGTTTGATGGTCACTGATAAAACATTAGCCTATGTTTTGTACCTGTTATTACTCCCATAAAAGAAATTAGTGTGCAGAGAATATATGGTATATTACAGTATTAAAAGAAAAAAATTAAAAAAACACTGATTTTAAGGTATCTACATAAAACTAAAAATGAAAACCCTGAAAAACACCAATTTTAAGATATCTAAATAAACTGTAAAACATCTAAAAAAAACATCAAAAAGCATAAGCCCTAAGTATTGTTCAGGATCATTATACTATGGCATCACATCCATTTTCTTGTGGGAAAGATTGCTGTAAAGGTGGACAGTAATGTTACTAAATTATTTTACAAAACTTGTAATAAATCAAGTTATTAAAACTGGTAGTGGTAAACTTTTTTGCTTTAACATTTATCAACAACAGCAGCATACAAGGTAGTTCTATAAACATTATACAAAATATTGTACCTCTCAGTTAATGGTAAGTTACTTTTCCATACCTCTGTTTACAAAACTAAGGAAAAACAAGACAACTGTACATTTCACAATTATTACATCATTTATTAATGACCATGGTTTCACCAGTAAAGACATCATCAGGTTTAAATTATTGTAATAAGCAAGTTGTACTGTACCCTTCTGTTCTTCAAGCTCAACTGTTACTTGAATAGTATTGACATTACTAAAGTTCACAAGTTGGATTTTGTAACTAGCATCTCAATCATGTATATACAAATTTGTATGAATAGTTAATAAAACCTTAAGTTAAATCACTTAGAATAACTTAAAATTGTTTTTTTTGTTAATATTATAAAGTATGTTAAGAAATGTCACAAACGTACATGTACAGTACAGACATATAATAAAATCATTATTAGATATATAAATTATCAGACTAGTTTATAAAAAGTCACAAACCATTCCAATGGAATATTGAGTCCAGGTGCTTCTCAACCACAGCTGGTACCAATGATGACATAATGTATTCTAACAAAATATAAAACACTTAAAAACTTTTGAAGACAAGTATATGTTAGTGTATATATGCATAAATATATTTTATAGATAATTTTAACAACAGTGCAACAATTGTTCAAAACATTATGAACACATAGTTTAAATTTAACATTCAAATAGCCTAGAAAGTGTATAATGAAGAAGGCAAGAGCTCTATATGGAGATTCACAATCCCTCTCAAGAATAAAGCACCCAGTGCTGAAAAGATTTTAAAACATCGAAGAAGCTTACATGGATATGGTTATTCATAAAAACCTACACATTTAGAAATTTGGACATTACAAGCAGGGCAGTTACGGTAAGTACTGTATAATGTAACACTGAACAAGTACGACTGGCGAGACTTAAACTGAAATACTGTGTGCACTGTTGATTTCCTCAGCATTGTAGAAACTGTCTTAAGAAGTTTGAACTACAATGACGGGCTTAAAATTTTAGACATGCTTTTTCAATGTGTGAGATTAAAATTAAAGAATAAAAAAATTTTTAATAAATAGTAATCTGCTTGAAACTAAATGGATATATAAAAAGGAACTTTCTGATCAACAATAAAAAAAAATTTAAACTAAGATGAACATGAGTGTTTTTATTTTTTTCTAAAACTTTGTTTCACAACCTAAAAATTAGAAATACTGAATAAAATTATGTATTTTTAGTCATGGCATAGCAGCTTATATAATGGTTCAGTTTTTTTTTTCAAGTTCAAACTTTTAGCTCATACCTCCATCTCTTGGCCAATTTGAGATCTAATTACAGCCACAGTTATTGAGACTTGTTTTAAGTCTAAACTAGATACTATTTAATAGATTTGTCACAGATTTCACGTTTTTAGTTAATATCATCATGTGAGCAGAATTTTATCAAGCTGATATAAGTGACACCACCCATCTCCACCCCCACTCCCATAATCAGATTACTGAATGACAAAAATGCTTGTATACAATACACAGGAGAAATTAGAAGAAATCAAATGCTTTTTTCAATGGTAAAGGACAAGGATTTTCTGTATTCTATGTTCTAAACAGACACGTTTTGGTTTTACGGAAATTGCCCATCTAAAAGAGAGCTCAGTAGTTAAAAGTCTGAAGGGGACACAAGCTTAAGGTTTGGAAAAACAAGCTAAGCTTTAGCTAAAGCAGTTTTATTTTTTAGCATGGTGATAAGCTTATGGAGGAGCTGCAGGTCAGCACTAGTTAAAGGGTTTAAAATGGGAATAATTAAGTTAAAAAATAAAGGTTTGATTCAGTGTGCAGTAGCAACCTTGAAGAATCAAATGGTCGCTTACAATTTGTATGTTACATATAGCACATGAAGATCAAAGTACAGAAACATTTAAAGTATAAACATATGTATCTCACTTGTGGTTATGGGGAAAGAAAACCCACTGCTAACTTATCAATCCTGAGATATTACTGTGACCTTAGCCAAAAATGAAGACACACACACTAGTGTGTCTTATGGCCAAAAAAACAACAGCAATAGTTTAGCAATTTTCTGCTTTTTTGTAGCTCAGACTGTGGTAATCCAAACTACCACATATTTTTATCACATTAGTTAGCTAGACAGCATATTTTATTTTACCCACCATCATACCCAAAGTTGAACAAAATATGCTGCCTGGCTAACTGATGAATGAATATTTGCCGTAAAGTTCTCAAAGCTATAAGTGTATCTACAAGTTTGGCTGCTTCAGTGCTTGATTTCATTCCATTAAGTCGCATGCTGAATCCCCCTTTTTTTTTTTGGTTGCACCTTTTTTTCACACCTAAGATGTTTTTATTTGATAGCAATAACAAAGAGAGTGCTCAAATGATGATTGAATGCATTCAAATCATTAAAAATTTTCATGACATTATATAACTATTAGTTAGTCCAATGTATAAAATCAACTACCGTATTTTGTATGTTAATTTTTACTTCTGATCGATACAAGTTATTGTTAAACTGATTATAACTGTTATCCCAAGTCATACAAAACAGTACTTGTATTTGTAAACTTTTTAATTTATGTTGTTTGATATACATATAATTGTATACTGTATACTTCACTTTCTAGAACCAATTTAGAAGAGTTGCTATTAATATTTCTTTCATAAATGCAACTTAAAATACTACACAATCTGCCTGTTAGTGTTAGTATTAGAAATATTTGATATGTGAAGACAAACAAGGCAAGTCTTAGTATTTAATATTTTATTGCATTTTTGTAAATCTTCATAAAAAAAATTAAGAAAATAGTTTCATAAAGTATTTAATTGCAAAACCTTACAAGACTTATGTTATATTACATAGGGTGGTATGAGATATGAATTTTCTTTCATTACAAATACAACAAAAATATTTGAAGTGTGGGATGTTTATATTTTGATATCTGAAGATGTTTGTTCATCAGTTTTCTTATCTAATGTAAACGTGTTTTTATACTGAGCTCTTCCTTAAGTTCTTAATTAATTGAAGAATCCGAAATGTGGTCTCGGGAAGAAAGAAAGGCAGAGAATTCCTCCTTAACTTTAAATTAAAAGGAAGTACATACAAATGAATGCACACCCAAAACCAAGTCTTAAAGTTAAACTGTTATTTTTAAAAACTTATTAAGTACAGGTCTGATTTAAATTTTAAGGCTCAGAGTCATACTAGTCATAGTAACCCAAAATTTAAATGTTGAATTAAAATTTAGTATAATAATTTATGGCCTTGGCAGTGGCTTATTATAATAATTTTACTCAGTTAACTTGTCCCTACAAGTTAGAAGACGTAATTGTAGAATATGAAACATCGTCTCTGACTCTCATTGTTGGTTCCAGGAAAAAAGAAAAGCTGAGACTGAAATCTATCTCTACGAATAGTAATTAATAGTAATACTCAGTACTATTAGTACTAAATAAAAAGTTGTAGTCAGTAGTAGTAGTATTACTATTAGTCTAAAGTTAAACAAGAGAAGTCTATAAATTTCGTAAAAAGAACTATTTCCAAGTCTGTACTTTCTTGATTTTTTATACTTGAATACAAGATTTAAAATATTATTTTGTAATTATAAACGTGCTTGTAAATTTAAATTATACAAACCATATCATTGAAAATAAAACATGCAATTTAACAAATATTAGCATTAATTTTAGGCCTAAACGGCAAACCTTGCAATAATAGACCTACCCTCACTTCTTGTTGAAGATTAGTTAAACTTTGCCGCTACGTGAAGCTGAGAGTATCGGAAATGAAGATGCATGTTTTATTTTAACCATGCTCGTTTAATCTTTTAAAATATAGCTATATTCAATTATATTAATATTTGAAATATGTTTTAATTATTAAAAGTGGAAAAATATTATTAAAGCAAACTAACATCAGAAAACTTTAATTTATTAGTTTGCGTTCCTTAACATCCTTTTAGTATCGCCTTTTAAATGTTATCGTAATGCAATAATATTAGGATTGTGTCATTGGACGGTACTTTATTTCCAGAGTAAAGTGTTGTTTTTTTCACCGTTTAAGCAGTTAAATTAAATATCTACTTTTTTCTAGCTTAATTAATATAAACCATTATTTTAATAATAGTTAAGTGATGAAATCCATGTGTTTCACTATTCTCTTTGTAATTTGTATTTTGCTCTCATATAATGCCTCCAAAGCGTTGGTAAGTTATGGCCTGAAGAGTGAGGAGTTACGAAACGTAGAAAGTGTTACTGTTAGTACGTCTTAATTTATATAACTTTGGTTTAAACAACGAATATTTGTTATGAAATATTTGAACATTTTCTTATTAAAATTGCAAGGGTTTGTGTCAGGACTCAGCCTTATGATAACATAAGCCTGATAAGGAACTATTGGATTCTTCAACATGATCAAGGCTGGCCCTGCACACCTACTATTAAGAATAAGTAAAAATTTAAACCAGCCCTTTATTTTTTAGGAAATTATCAATGCCACACATAAATTATGTATGTTATTAATTGTCACTCTCCACTACTGCTTACAGCAACTCCTTTCATAAACTATTCATCGAGTGAGAAAAATAAAAACTGGTGCATAAACTACCTTTTCCAGACTTCAAAATTTAAATATATATCCCCTAGACCTACCGCTTTTACCATTAAACAACAGAAAAAAATCATGCATCCATAAGATTATCTCTTACTTTTTTTTCTCAAGAGAAAATAACTTAAGAGATCATAACCTATCGAAATAAGATAACCCTTCCATCTCCAAAGTTATCCTAGTAACTCTCCTCTGAACTCTTTCCAATAAGTCATCCTTTCTTAAATAAGATGCCTTCCAGTGGTACGTCTGCAGACTTACAACACTAGAAACTGGGTTTTGATACTCGTGGTAGGCAGAGCACATATAACCCATTGTGTAGCTTTATGCTTAATTATAAACAAACTCTTAAATAAGATCAAAATTGTAGACAGTATTTCAAATGTTGCTGAACTAGTAACTTGTATAAAGGTTTGAGTAACGTATCTACCACTAAGCATAGATCTTTTTCTTCATTACACAATTAAATATACGATCCAAAGTATAACCCAAATCCATTTATTTTCCACTTACTGTAAGGAAAGGTCTTTCATCAAATATGTCTGACTAATCTGAGTTATTCCGTACTATCTCAACTTATTTAATAAGCAATCTCTAATCTTTGACATTGCATAATACACAGTAACACTGTGTGCATTTAGTGTAACAGAATAATACTATTCACTAGCATAAACCTTCCACCAAAGAGTATGTATAAATTATGCTAAACCAAGTAGCCTTTTGGCCCATAAAGGAAGCTATGCACAAACAGAACATTAACTCATTGATTGCTGATTCACTCTATAGGGTACGGTCCACCTCCAGCTGTTGAAGGCGAGTGTGCTGTATATGGTGTACTTCTTGCAAAAATCTTGCGTGCATTTAGTGCAGCCACAGTCAATTGGTTAATTATAAATCCAGCCCTGATCCCTGAAATATACATTAACATTTTTCTGAAACTCCTATTTGCAGCTTCTACCATTCTAGATGGTAACTTGTTTCACAGATTTGCCATCATATTGTGGAAATAAAATTGCTTCAACTCATTCAGCTGGGTATGTGCCTGACTGTTCTTAAGTCATATATTTTTTACATAAACAAATCTGGATGTCATTTCCTTTAATAATGTTTAATACTTCAATTAAATCACCTCTAAGCCTTTTTTTTTAATATACATTAAGAGAGAATAAGGGATTTCAGTCTATCAATCCATCTATCCCTAGAATCATCCTTGAACTTTTTCTCTGAACCCTCTTAAAGAACTCATTGTTTCTTAAGATAGGGACTTTACAAAGAATTCTAAATTTATAATATCTCAAAGTTAATGGTACATTCCATGTCACTTTGCATCATAGGTCTATAATGTAAAATTTATTGAAAACAAGGGACCTGTTGGTCCATCTAGACTATCCCATCCACTAAACTAAAAACAACTACTTGAAACCAATCCTTAGTCAAATATTTATCAAGCCTTCTCCTAAACTTCCTTAACTTTACTTCATTCATCACATCTGAAGGCAACCCATTCTAAAGGCCAGTCACCCTGTTAGAAAAATAAAACTGTGTTTACTGAAGATGACCCTTACCCAGTGTCCCCTAGTCTTACTATTCTTACTGTTTAAGTACAAAGAAAAGCATGATGCATCACATTATCAGTAGGTCACTAGTTACACCACATTTGGAGTATTGTGTTCAGCCTTGTGCTCTCTACCTTAGGAAGGGCATTGAATTATTGGTGTAACCAGTGGCCTATACAATGAAACTACAACATATTTAGACTTATATTCAACATTTCTATAAGTACAGCCTAAATTCATATTTTTCCTTCCACTAGCAAAGTACTGATCAACCAGAACAGTAAGATAATTTTCCTCTGTAACACTATTAAGATTGTTCCCGTCAAAATTATACTCATTATTCAACTTATGATAATCCTCATGCATCTGTTATAATTAAAAGCCATCTGCCATTTAGTCCCCAAATTACCAAATAATCTAAATCATTTTGTTAAGCAGCAGCATCCTCACAACCAGCAACATCCAAGACCTTGATATCATCAGAGAATTTAAGTAACTTATTCATCATTCCTTTATCTATGTCGTTGATGTAAATCAAAGAGAGCAAAGGTCATAACACTGAGCTCTGAGGTACTCCAGTTATGACATTAATACAGTTTAATTGAATTCAATGTATAACAATCTTCTGCTTTCTTCCTTCCAGCCACTTTTCTATTCACTGAGCCAACTTATCCCCCCCCCCCCACCCCACACACACACACCTACAGATACCATATTTCTAGTAAGCCTTTTATTTTAGAAGTTTGGCAAATGCTTTCTGAAAATCTAGATAAACCAAATCCTCACCTTCACCAACATAGACAATCACTTTTTCAAATAATAACAAAAAACTAGTAAGGCAAGATTTGTCCTTAGTGAAACCCTGTTGATTATCCAACAAAATTTTAAACTGTTATTAAAGAAATTATGGCATTTTTAGTAGCTGAGTGAATCATATTTTAGGCCATACAAACCAATAATTATATCTGTGACCAGTGAAGCTTGACGAAAAAGGGCACACAGTTGTCTTCTTATCTTCACCATTTCTTTGATTCTTTTTGATGAAACAAACTGCAAATGAACCTTGAAAGACTAGCTTCCATGATATGTAATTAACAGTTGTAATTTGTTTTTTAAATTCGCCAGAATGGAAGCTACCATATTATGGTTTACATCCAAAAACAGCATAGATACATAATTTTATGCAGCCCATTATAGCAGTCTTGTAAGCATTTGGAACTGAGCATAACAAAGATTACAGTTAGTTGTTAATAAAATTATTAGGTATAATTTTGGACACTAATATAAGAGTGTTCTGTCACTATCTTAAAGCAAATATATACATATTTGGTGGACAATGCTCAGACTTATACTGGACATGCCTGATTGTGTGGATCTGTCATGTTCTCCTCATTAACATGGACAAGTAGTTCCACATATGGAAATTTTAATAGTGTAAGAGCAATTAATAAGAGCAGCCAATTCAAGGACTATTTTTAGGAATGGTCATAATAAATGTTCCCTCTAATTTTTTCAGTCTATGTGCAGAATGATTTTTTTCTTTTGCAATGCTACCTATTGGGCTTTAGGCCTATCAACTGCCAGGGTCATCAAAGTTGTCAATGTGTTGAGACTCCCCACCATTACTGAGAACATGCACGGCTGGAATGATTAAGTATGCGGCATTTGATTGGTTGTTGTGCAGCCGCACAGCTTAGTGGGAACACTGGTCATAATATAGTCTCTAATATATAAGTCTCTATGACATCATAGCATCCTCATTACAGCTAACCAGACCTAAGATTTTTGTATTATCATCAAACCAATATCCCATCTATGTCTTTTTCAAAGTCATTAATGGAAATGAAGAATAGTAATATAGCACAGATCCTTGAGACACATTACTTGCAACATTTGTCCAGTTAGAATGAACTCCATTAACAAAAAGTTTGCTTTCTCCTAACAAGCCAACCATCAATCCATTTAATTAAATTATCCCTACTGCACTAGTTTTTATTAAACACTTTATTAGAAGTTTTCTGAAAATCCAAATAAACCAAATCGTCTCAAGAAGTAATGTCCTAAAAAAACCATAAGGCATACAGACAACAGAGGAATATTTGGTTCTTCAAGGCTCTCCTTGCACATCCATCCCCCAAAAATATTCAATCCTATACTTCCTTTAAAACTTAGTGGAAATATTTTGGTGCTTTTCTGTGTTTAATCTGTCAATCTGTTTATTACCATCAAAAGAGATCTACATGATTAAGGTCCATTTCCAAATTTCTCATAGTATGCTTAGGTTCAGAAATATTATTAACCTCCTCTCTTGTAAAAACAGAATAGTAGAAAACATTGAAAGTTTAGTCTTGTCAAATTCTTTAATGTTTTGTTACCTTTGACATACTTTAAAAAAAATCATTGCTATTAGGTTACTATCAGCCAGTTGTTTCTCACAAGTTCTTTTTAATTTCATTATTTCTTGATTTTCTATATATGTTCATGGGTGCCCGCAGGGATGGGCAAGGGGGGTCACTTGATCCCTCCTAGACTTACAAAA